TTTTGTCTCTGTGGTATTTTCCGATAAGTTCGATCAAATTTTTTTGCTTTGAAGATACCTATTCCTGTCGCCAGTTTTTGTTTACCTATCACACGCCTAACAGTTGGGCGGGTGGAAGATTTTGTATTTAGTTAAAACGGGCTTAAGAAATACAAACAAGCTTGAATGGTGATATGGCAGCTGCCAGCCGAAGGGTGCAAATGCATCCCAAACTCAACATCCTGTAATCAAAATGGGCATCGCTTTGCTTCATTTCGCTCAAAATTGATCTTCAAAAGCAAGCATTAACGGTTTTTATTGTGTCTGGCCTTTGTTCTGTCAAGTTTTTGTTTTGTGGTACAGCTTCGCATTTTTAAGCTGCTTTTAAGCTCTTTCTCAATGTAGTTTCTCACTCTTCAAGCTCTCACACTGGAAGCGCTCTTAGATTCAGTTTCTTGCATTTCCTCCTGACACAAGCAGTTCTGGTGGTTAAAGAAAATGGAACACACTTTCTGGCCCATTTGATAGGTATCTCAAAATGTGCAGCTGTTCAAACGCATTTTGATCAAACAAAACAATTTTTTTGCTTTTAGATGCAGCTGATTTGCTGAAAACCAGTGTGGACCAGATGCAGTATTGGATAGAAGCGCTTCAAGAAATGAGCACAAAATTGCGAGAGCAGGAGAAGTTACAGGGAGCGGAAGGCAAGGATTCTGAAAAAATACGGTTATTTTCGTCTCCATTGGTTGCACATCAATTAAATTTTTATTTCTCGCAATTTTTTTTTAACTAATAGGTAAAAAGCATGCTAAAAGAGGAAGAGTGAAATGTTTCCCCTCCCCGCGTACCTTAGTCTTCCCTTTAAGTCTCTGCTGCCAGATTTTTAGCAGATTTTACTAAGGCACGTTTCTGCCCTTAATTTTATTTCCAGTTATCAGTATTCAGTGACTAGTAGTGGCCAAACTCGGTATGCAGCAAGGCTGTTAATGTTAATCCTTTTTGCTCAACTTGTGAACATTCCTAACACGACTGTTTCGGTGAAGCTGTTTTTTGACCATTGTAACAGATTTGCATCTTTCTAGAACCCTTCCGTTCACTGTCCTGGAGCATCCAGTATTGCTTCCGACTTCAAACTGAAAAAGCTGTGATTAAATTTAGAGACCAGACCGTCTTTTTGCTTCATTTCCGACGTTTTGGTGAAATATTGCCAAAAGAAAAGTCCCACTTTGAAGGAGCTGATCAACGATATTCGTTTCATTTAAAATTTTAGTCTGTTCACGAAATTTCAATGGGTACCTACGACTTTTACAAAGGGAGGTCTTATCCCAGTCTTGACATTTCCTATCCAAAACAAAGCTGCTTCTAACTGCGCCACATTTACTTAAATGTGGCAGTGTTTCTGGTTCAGTTTAGTCCTTTAAAATTAATGCCTTAAAAGAATTTAGTGCCAGCCCATTTATACTCTTTTTGCCAAATTTCTTTGACAGGCTTTTGCACCGGTCTGGCTACTTCGCCTCAGCCAAATTACTTCAGCTTGATTCAGTTGCTTCTTATTCAATTTTCCATCCTTTTCTC